TGGTTGACTTTTCATTCTGTTAATTGTTTCTTTTGCTGTACAGAAGCTTTTTAGTTTGATATAATCCCATTTGTTTATTTTTCCTTGGTTGCCCATGCTTTTGGGGTCATATTTATGAAGTCTGTGCCCAGTTCTACTTCCTGAAGTGTTTCTCCTATGTTTTCTTTGGGAAGTTTTATTGTTTCAGGGTGTATATTTAATTCTTTAATCCATTTTGAGTTGATTTTGGTATATGGTGAGAGGTATGGGTCTAGTTTCATTCTCCTGCATATGGATATCCAGTTCTCCCAGCACCATTTGCTGAAGAGGCAGTCTCTTCCCCAGTGTATAGACTTCGTGCCTTTGTCAAAGATCAGATGGCTGTAGGTGTGTGGGTTAATTTCTGGATTCTCTATTCTATTCCATTGATTCGAGTGTCTGTTTTGGTTATTATAGCTTTGTAATATAATTTTTTTTTCCTTTTTGTTTTTTTTACTGACCGGTAACGGGATCGCAACCCTTGGTGTCGCGCCCGTACCGGGGACCGGCAACGGGATCGCAACCCTTGGTGTTGCGCCCCGCATTGCGCTCAGCCAGTGAGCGGGAACCGGTCTCCACATGGGATCTGAACCCCTGGTGGGAGCACCGCTGCGCTCCCAAGCGGCGCACTCTCCAGTGCGCCACCGGGCCGGCCCTGTAATATAATTTAAAGTCAGGTAGTGTTATGCCTCCAGCTTTATTTTTTTTGCTCAGCGTTGCTTTGGCTATGCGTGGTCTTTTGTTATTCCATATAAATGTCTGGATAGTTTTTTCCATTTCTGAGAAAAATGTCATTGGAATTTTGATGGGGATTGCATTGAATTTGTATATCACTTTGGGTAGTATGGACATTTTCACAATGTTAATTCTTCCAATCCAAGAGCATGGGATATCTTTCTTTTTTTCTTTTTTTTTTTTTTTTTTGAAAAGATGACCGGTAAGGGGATCTCAACCCTTGGCTTGGTGTTGTCAGCCACATTTATTGATTTGCGTAAGTTGAACCAACCTTACATCCCTGGAATGAATCCCACTTGATCATGGTGTATAATTTTGCATGTGTGTTGCTATATTCTGTTAGCTATTTTTTTATTGAGGATTTTTGCATCTATATTCATCAAGGATATTGGCCTGTAATTTTCTTTTTTAGTTGTATCTTTACCTGGTTTTGGTATCAGGGTGATGTTTGCTTCATAGAATGAGTTTGGGAGAATTGCCTCTATTTCAGTCCTTTGGAATAGTTTGTAGAGAATTGGTGTCAATTCCTCTTTGAGTGTTTGGTAAAATTCTGCTGTGAATCCATCTGGTCCTGGGCTTTTTTTTGTTGGGAGTCTTCTGATAACAGCTTTAATCTCTTTTATTGTTAGTGGTCTGTTCAGATTTTCTACATCTTCTTGGGTCAGTTTTGGTAGCTTGTGTGTGTCCAGAAATTTATCCATTTCCTCCAGATTTTCAAATTTGTTGGTGTATAGTTGTTTATAGTAGTCTCAAATGATTCGTTGTATTTCAGGTGTATCAGTTGTAATATCACCTTTTTCATTTCTAATTTTTGGTATTTGGATCTTCTCTCTTCTTTTTTTAGTTAGTCGTGCTAATGGTTTGTCAATTTTATTTATCTTTTCAAAAAACCAACTTTTTGATTCATTGATCTTTTGTATTGTTTTTTGGGTTTCAATTTCATTAAGTTCTGCTCTGATCTTAATGATTTCTTTCCATCTGCTAACTTTGGTTTTGGATTGTTCTTGTTTTTCTAGTTCTTTAAGGTATTTCTTTAAGGTATTTTCTAGTTCTTTAAAGTATTAGGTTGTTCACTTGCCGTCTTTCCATTCTTCTGAAGTAAGCTTTTAATGCTATAAATTTCCCCCTTAGTACTGCTTTTGCAGTATCCCACAGGTTTTCGTATGATGTATCATTGTTTTCATTAGTTTCAATAAATTTTTTGATTTCCTGTTTGATTTCTTCTTGGACCCATATGTCATTAAGTAGAATGCTGTTTAATTTCCATGTGTTTGTATAGTTTCCAGAATTTCATTTGTTATTGATTTCTAATTTTAATCCATTGTGGTCTGAGAAAACACATGGGACAATTCCAATTTTTTTTGAATTTGTTGAGACATGATTTGTGACCTAATATGTGATCTGTCCTGGAGAATGATCCATGTGCTGATGAGAAAAGTGAATATTCTGAGGTTGTTGGATGGAATGTTCTGTAGATATCGGCCAAGTCCAATTGTTCTAGTGTGTTGTTTAGATCTTGTGTTTCTCTGCTGATTCTTTGCCTTGATGATCTGTCCAATATTGATAGCGGGGTGTTCAGGTCCCCTGCTATTATGATATTAGTGTCTGTTTTCTTCTTTAGGTCTAATAGAGTTTGCCTTATAAATCTGGCTGCTCCGACATTGGGTGCATATATATTTATGATTGTTTTGTCTTCTTGATGGATGAATTCTTTTATCATTATGTAGTGGCCCTCATTATCTCTTTTTATGGTTTTTAGTTTAGAGTCTATTTTATCAGATATAAGAATAGCTACTCCTGCTCGTTTTTCATTTCTGTTTGCATGGAAGATCTTTTTCCATCCTTTCATTCTTAGTCTATGTGAGTCTTTATAGGCGAGGTGGGTCTCTTGAAGGCAGCATATAGTTGGGTCCTCCTTTTTAATCCAGTCAGCCAGTCTGTGTCTTTTGATTGGGGAATTTAATCCTTTTACATTAAGAGTTGTTATTGAAAGGTATTGATTTACTCCTAGCATTTTATTGATTTTTGTTTGGATGTCTTAAGTGTCTTTTGTTCCTTTATTTCTGATTTACTATTTGTCTTCTGTATTTTGGGTTGTAGATAAACTTTTTTTCTCTTCATTGTTGCCATTTTTATTTTACTAGTGGGTTTTGATTTTTCTTGAGTTTTTATGGCAGTGGTGGTTATTTTTCAGGAACCAAACCCAATACTCCCTTGAGAATTTCCTGTAAGGGTGGTTGTGTGGTAGTGAACTCCTGCAGTTTTTGTTTGTCTGAGAAATATACTATTTGCCCTTCATTTTGGAAGGATAGCCTTGTGGAGTAGAGTATTCTTGGCTGGCAATCTCTGTCTTTTAGTATTTTGAATATATCATCCCATTCCTTTCTGGCTTTTAGGGTTTGTGATGAAAAGTCTGACGTTAGTCTAATTGGGGTTCCCTTATAGGTGGTTTGATGCTTCTCTCTTGCACCTTTTTTTTTTTTTTTCCTTTTTGTCTTTTTTCGTGACCGGCAATGGATCACAACCCTCAGTGTCGCGCCCGTACCGGACCGGGACCGGCAACGGGATTGCAACCCTTGGTGTTGTGCCTGCACCTCGCTCAGCCAGTGAGCGGCTGGTCTTTATGTGGGATCCGAACCCTTGGCGGGAGCGCCGCCACGCTCCCAAGTGGCGCACTGTAGCTGTGCGCCACTGGGCCGGCCCTCTCTTGCACCTTTTAATATTCTCTCTTTGTCTTTGAGTTTTGCCAATTTGACTATAACATGTCTTGGAGAAGACCTTTTTGGGTTGAATATGTTTGGGGATCTATCAGCTTCCTGAATCTGAAGATATGTGTCTTTTCCTATACCTGGGAAGTTTTCTGCCACTATTTTGTTGAATATGTTTTCAATGCAATCTCCTTTTTCCTTCCCTTCTGGAATACGCATGACTTGGATATTTGAGTGCTTAAGGTTGTCTGATATCTCTCTTAGATTTTCTTCAATGTTTTTAATTCTTTTTTCTTTTTCTTTTTTTGTCTGCCTGTGTTATTTCAAACAGCCCATCTTCAAGGTCAGAAGTTCTCTCTTCTGCTTCTGCAAGCCTGCTGGTTAAACTCTGTTGTGTTTTTTATTTTATTGAATGAATTTTTCAGCTTAGCAAGCTCTGCTACATTCTTTTTCAGGGCATTGATTTCCTTGTACATTTCTTCTTTCAGGTCCTGTATACTTTTCCTCATTTCATTGTGTTGTCTAGCTGAGTTTTCTTGTATCTCATTTAGTTTCCTTAGAATTATCACTCGAAATTCCTTGTCAGACATTTCAAGGGCGTCTTGTTCTATAGGATCTAGATCTTGAGAGTTATTACCCTTTGGTGGTGTACTTTCTTGATTTTTCATATTTCTGGTATCTTTCCTTTGATGTTTAGTCATTGTGGCAGGGGATTTCACGGTCCACTTGTTTGACACTATTGTCTGGCTAGGATGCTGCTGGGACTGCCAATTTGGTACGGCTGCCTCAGTGTATGTTCGGTTGCCCACGAGTGCCTTGGGTGTGTGGTCGCCTTGGATCTTGGACCTCTCATGGGAGGCGCCTCTCTGGTCAGCATGCACTCGGCCGGGCTGGGGATGGAGTTGGGTGGTGGCGGCGAGGCCTACCTGCTGGGTCATGCTCTGGCACTGCAGGGTGCATAGTCTCCAAGGATCTTGGGCCTCTGGCTGTGCACCTATCTGATCAGCACATACTCAGCGGGGCTGGGGATGTGTATAAATTTTTAAAAACATGAATAGGAGCCTATGGTGTGTGTCCATAGTGTTTACAGTACCCATTCATACTAAATAGATAGAGTCTTAAATTGCACTTATGCATCTAAATGTTTTAATTCATTTAATCCTCACAACAACCCTAAGAAGTAGGTTCCTGTATTACCTACATTTTAGAAAGTAGGAAATCTGGAACCGGAGAGGTTCTATAAGTAGCCCATCATCACACAGCTAGGAAGTGGGTGAGTCAGGATTTGAACCTAGGTAGTCAGTCTGGTTCCACAGTTAAGCTTTTAACCTCTTCCCTTCATCAATTTTTAACATTCAGAAGCACCTTCTTTTGATGGGCTGCACTGAATTCCAATATGTGATGTCCCAGAATGTGTTTATTTAGTCTCATTGTAAATGACACTTGGAGGGCCAGTACATGGCTCACTTGGGTGAGCGTGGTGCTGACAACACCAAGTCAAGGGTTAAGATCGCCTTACCGGTCATCTTTAAAAAAAAAGGACACTCAGATGCTTTCTGGTTTTTTTATTTTTACAAATAGTGCGGCTAAGAGCATAGTGATCAGACTACTTTTGCATGGGTTCAGTTTCTTTCCTTGGATAAATTCTTGGCAGTAGAATTGCTTGGAAAAAGTTCCTGGATAGCCTTAGAGTAAGGGTAGGCCATTTTATCCCCCACCAAATGGGGGTGCCTGGGCTCCCACATGTTTATGTCACCAGCTGTGGTTAGGCTTTTGTAGAGTTTGCATTTGCGGAGTTGTCATCTCTTTGTTCCATTTTACATCTCTTTGATTATTGATGATCTTGGACCTTTCAGGTTGGTCAATTCTGTTTTTTTTTTTTTTTGGCGGCTGGTCAGTAAGGGAATCTGAACCCTTGACCTTGGTGTTATCCGTACTGCACTCTAACCAATTGAACTGACCAGCCAGTCCAATTCTGCTTCTTTTATGACTTTTTACACCTATTTTGGTGGCAGAGAGGATCTGTCTTCTGCTTATTATCAAGGGATCATAAGCTCCGTAAATATAATCAACTCATTGCCATATGTGTTGTAGCTATCTTCACTCAGTTTATTGTTGACCATGGCCTGGGTTTCCTCCTCTTCTCTCAAGTCTCTCTCTTCCCTAGAACCCCCCAGGCCTGCCCAGCATCGCTGTCTGCCGGCTTGTGGGTTGCCTTTGTGGGAGCAAACTCGTCATCGACTGGCACAACTACGGCTACTCCATTATGGGGCTGGTGCATAGCCCCAGCCACCCCCTTGTTCTGCTGGCCAAGTGGTGAGCGTCTGGGAGGAGGGTGTGATACATTCTGTAAAACCATGTTGGGATGAGTGTGAAGAAGGGCCAGTGTGGAGACTCTGGAAGGGAGTTCCCTGTGTGCTTGGCAGGGATGGGCAGGGTATGGGCAGGGCTGGTGATTTGGGCTGGACATTGGCCACCAGGAATAGAAACAGGCCTCAGCAAAGGAGGGCATTTATTGTTGCCCATGAAACTGAAAGGGCTGGAAAAGCGGTTGGCTTCGAGCTCAAAACAATGTCATTGGGACCTGGCTTGTTTTTGTCTCCATTCTACCTTCTGGTAGTGGTCTCAGGTTCTAGGAGCTCCCCTAGCTCTCATTTCCACCCCTTCAGGCAGAGTGGGGAGAGCAAACCCCTCTGATTGGCTGGTATAGGTCACCTGCCCCTCTCTGGTCCACTCACTGAGGCCGGGGACTGCAGTCCCTTGTTGTCTCAGGCTTGGGACAAATTCTCTATCACAAGAACTAGGTCCCAGGCACACCCAGACCACATGGACAGAGACTGTGGGCAGATCCCCAGATAGAAACTGGGGGCTGCTGCTGGAAGACAGGGAAGTGGGCCATGGTGGCTACAGCTGACAAGACAGGGAGGGAAGAAGGGCCTGTGGGATAGGACCCAGAGCAGAAAGAGTCATTTGTGTCCTGAGCTGAGTGTGACACCTGCCTCGCATGTACTTCCAGCTTCAGGACAGTGGCTGGCTGTGGCCCTCACCCCGATGGGCTTGATCATTGGTAGTGGTAACAGTGGCAGCAGTGGCAGTGGCAATGGCTTGCAGTCACTGAGTGCCTGCTGCATGCCAGGCCTCAGGCCAAACTCTTTCTTTTATCCCATTCAAACTCCAGTGCACCCCAGGGTGGGGGGCGAGGGGTATACTGTGATTATTCTCCTTTCACAAGTCAGGAAACTGAGGCTGGAAGTAATTACGCCTCTTGTCACACATCCAAGTGTGAGGACCAAAATTTAGTGCAGAGCTTTGTCTGGAGGAACAGGCCATAGTACCTGATGACATTAAATAACCTTGACTTGCTCATTCCCCTTTGCAGTTCTTTCTGCGATCAGGGCTCAAGTCTCAATTTGGAGCTACCGTGTCTTTAATGCCTCTCTAACATTTGCTAAACTCCCTTTGTACTATGTTGAGAGTGAGCCGCAACCTCACAACCTTTGCAGCATAGCACAGGGTGGCTGAGATTTAACAATGAGGCCTTCATTGTATTTCTTCTTTTAGTGGCAAGAGACTGGATTTTCACTTAGGTGTTGATATATGGGTCCCTTTTAGCCTAACTGTATTTAATCCGAAAAGCGATATGACATAAAGAAAGGTGTGAAAAAATAATAGTGCGGGTGGAGCTCAGCTATCGAAACCTCTGGGAAGGTTTGGGAGACCCCAGCTCCACAGCATCTTCTGCGTCGGGAAGTGTTAAGTCACACGGTGGTGGTGGTGGTGGGGCCTGTCCAGGGCTCCAAGCTGACCAGTGATACGTCTTTTCAGGTACGAGAAGCTCTTTGGGCGCCTGTCCCACCTGAACTTGTGTGTGACCAATGCCATGCGGGAAGACCTGGCAGAAAATTGGCACATCAGGTACGGAGGGCCTGGGACAACTGTCAGCCCCAGGGCAGCACAGAGTCCCAGGACTGGTTGGGATGAGAGCTGCAGGGCCCGCGTGCCATGGTGGCCAGGCATTTTGAGATACTGATGAGCCCGGGAGGTGGTTACTGGCTTGGGGAAGCCGAAGGAGGATGTGGTGGAATTTCTTCCCCAGCTGGCTGGGTGGTCCAGGTGGTGTTGGTCTCCCAGCATCTCTCTTGCTTTCCTAAGTAATTGTAAAGCTCTTTATCGTCATTGTCTGACACTCAAATTCCCCAAGCATCTTCTTTTTCTGGATCCTTCTGGGCCGTCTATTCCTTAGGCCTTTCTCCGTCCCTCCTGAGAGCCCCCATGATCTCATTGCAGAGCGGTGACCATGTACGATAAGCCAGCGTCTTTCTTTAAAGAGACGCCTCTGGACCTGCAGCATCAGCTCTTCATGAAGCTGGGCCGCACCCTCTCTCCATTTAGGGCCTGGTAGGTCCCTGTCCTCAGCTGCCTTCTCTTGTTGTCACTGCTGTCCTGGCCTCTCCCCTGTCTCCTCCCTGCAGACCTGGGAGTCCACTAATCCAGGGATTGGCAAACTAAGGCTGGGGGCTTGCAGCCTGTTTTGTAAATAAAATTTTATTGGAACACAGCACACTCACTCACTTATATGTCGTCCGGCTGTTTTTGGGCTTCAGCGCAGAGTTGGGTTTTGCAGCAGAGAGTGTATGGCCCTCAAAGCCTGAAGTATTTACTCTCTGGCCCTTTAAGAAAATGTTTGCCGACCACTGCGCTACCCAACCCTCCTGCCAGTGGGTTCCTGTGCCCGTAGCAGGGTCTGAATCTGTGTGTCCTCTAGGGTTTCTCATGGGGCCAGGGAGGGGCCTTTGTGTAGCTCTCCCCAGTCCTGTCATGTGCCCCTCTCAGTAACCGAGCCTGGCAGTTGGAGGGTATTTTATCAGCCTCAGCTTAATAAGGAATAAGAAGGGTAGGCCCCACGGAGAAAGGGGCTGAGATGGCCTTCTTTGCTGTTGCAACCTCAGCACCTAGCAACAGATAAATATTGGTCAAGAAAGCCAGCCCTTGGGTGGTGGGTTGGCCCAGTGGTGCTGATGTGGCCGGGTGCCCCAGCCCCCTAGGGCCTGCGGGCCTCGCTGTGGTGGGAGATGGCCGTCCTGGGCCCTGGGGCCTGCTCAGTGGCCTCCCACGGGCTTCCCGTCTGCTCCCTCAGCTCAGGACCTGTAGACCCGGCCATGGAGAGGACGGCCTTCACGGAACGGGATGCCCAGAGTGGGATGGTGACACGTCTCCATGGGCGGCCGGCCCTGCTGGTCAGCAGCACAAGCTGGACAGGTCTCTGTGACCTCCCCCTTGCCCTGGCACTTGTAAGACAGCCACCCGGCGAGCCCATGTTCTTCTCCCCCCATCAGTCCTGTGCCCCCCATGGGTGTCCCGATGAGAAGGGGGTGTGAATGAGCTGGGAGGGGGCATCTAGAAACAGGCCATGACACTCACTTCTCTCCCTGTAGAGGACGAGGACTTCTCCCTTCTGCTGGCAGCACTGGAAAGTAGGTGTGCGGCTGTGGTCTGCAGTCCTGGGCCTGTCAAGGACCAATGAGCTGTGGGATGCTCGCCCAGCCTTGCGTGGAGCTGCTCCTGTCCCTGGGGCCAGTGGGTGGGTCAGCCCGAGGACAGCAGAGGGTGGCGGTGGGCAGCTCTGAGTCCCCATTTGGGCCACTGAGTGACCAGGCCCTAGCTTTGAAGTGCCACCTCTGGGAGAGCATCGCAGAGAAGCCAGCGGCCTCCTCACCAGGAGCACGCCCCTCCCTCACCTGCCTCCCACCCCTCACTCACCCAGCTAGAGGATCCTGGTTATTGTTTTTGTATTTTCTTAAACACAGAGTTTGAGCAACTGACTCTTGATGGAGACAACCTTCCTTCTCTAGTCTGTGTGATAACAGGTACCACCTGGGACCCTCAGTGTTCTGTGTTTAGGTGGGGGATGGGGTGGGAACATGCACACGACATTGTCTCGTTCATCCTCGTCCCACCCCTCTAAGGTAGGGTTGTCACTACATTCTTGACAGAGGGGAAACTGAGGTTCAGAGGGGCCTAAGGGCAGGGCGTGGAGTTTAGATTTGAATCTCGGATAGCACGACCTCAGAGATACTCAGCTTTCCACTTTTCCAGTTGTTTTCCAGCATCCTTTTATTTTTTAAAACAAGAGCCCCTTGTGCAACATAAAATTGCTCCCGAAGTCATACCGTGAACAAAGAGAGAAGCAGAACAGCCAGCACTCGAGGAACAGGCTCCTGAGCTGGCTGCTGCTTTGTCCTGCTCACTCCCCTCCTCCTGGCCTACTGGGTTCCTGGGGGGGATGGCAGGGGACAGGCCGCAAGTCCCTACACATGGCACAGATGGAGAAGCTGGGTTGGTGCTCGAGTGCCAGGCCAGTGTTTATCCTGGTCACGTTCCCAGCCCGAGGCCAGCTGGCTGCAGTTGCAGGGCCTGGCCTCAGTGGTCAGGGTGCACACCCCTTTGGGGTCTCAGGGCTCCTGAGGTCATTTCCAGAAGGGACCCGAGTGGAGCTGCCGAGGGGTGGAGCTTCTGGGAAAGTAGCTGCCATGTCCTAACAGGAGCGTCCTGGGACTGGGGCCATGGGCCAGGGACAGAGATGGTCCCATGCAGTGGTTGCTTTTCTCTGCAAAGGCAAAGGACCTCTGAAGGAGCATTACAGTCGCCTCCTTGGCCACAAGCATTTCCAGCACATCCAGGTCTGCACACCGTGGCTGGAGGCCGAGGACTACCCCTTGCTTCTAGGTAAGAGGGTGGCAGGAGGCATCAGGGGGAAGGTGGTCTAAAGGGGAGTCCCCTACTGTAAGGTGGGGGGCAAACTTTTTCTGAAAAGGGCCAGATAATAAAGCTTATACTGGCCTCTGCCCCCTATTCTTTGTTTTTACAACCCTTTAAAAATGGAAAAGCTACTCTCAGATCAAGGGCCACAAACCAGCAGGCCTCAGGCTGGATTGGGCCTGCTCCTAGGGCCCCCTGGGGGCAGGTAGGTCGCCTACCAGGAACCCCATGTGGAACTCCTGAGAGGAGGCCCTTTCTTGGTGTGCCAGCTCCTCCCTGCCTGATGGTCCTGGCAGCTGTTTGCCAAGGGCTCTGAGAGCCTCCCACACCGTCCATCCTTCCTGCTTTTCTGTTCTGCACAAGGGCTAGGCTTGGGCTTGGGCTAGGGCCCACTGGTCCCCAAGTTTGGGAGGGCAGTGGCTTTGGGAGGTCCAGAGACAACATGTATTGCAGCCTCCCCCAGCCAGGACAGCTGTCCCTCCTCTCCACCCCTTTCTCTCTTGATTACTCTAAGAGGAGAGTTGAGTCGAGGCTTGGTACTGACTCTAATGTCTTCAGCAGTGAGGAAGCTCTCAGGCTGAGTGCCTTCGGCAGGCAGGAGATCCCAGCTAGTCTTCCGTAACGTTAAGCTGTTTATTTGGCTTTGTTTTTATAATGACAGCTGTTTTTTGTTGGGTCTGCTGTGGATTCTTTTTTTTTATTACTATAGTAAAATAGACATAAAATTTGCCGCTCTGACTGCTTGTAAGCATACAGCTCAGTGGCATTCATTATGTTCACAGAGTTGTACAACTGTCACCTCTATTTCTAAAACTTTTTCATCACTCCGTTCAGAAACTCAGTGCCCATGAAGCAATAACTTCTTAGGAGTTCTTTTAAAATAAATTGTGTTTAAGTAGAAAAAGAGAGTTAACTTAAATAACAATATTAAGTAGCACACAGTTTTCAGGTAGGGCAAATTGTTAGGAGTGGCAGTTGGGGGACATGGCTGTGTCCCTGCTCCTCACCAGGCCATGAGGCTGCTTGGCAACTTAAACCAGTTTGGGGTTGTTGGGGGTGTTACCCTATTTCTACCCCCATGGAGGCGCTGCTGCACAGTCTTGGTAGGATTTGTGTCTCCAGGGTGGGCGGCCAGAGCTCTGACTGACTCCCCATCACCTGGCAGGGTCGGCGGACCTGGGCGTCTGTCTGCACAAGTCCTCCAGTGGCCTGGACCTGCCCATGAAGGTGGTCGACATGTTTGGGTGCTGCTTGCCCGTGTGTGCTGTGAACTTCAAGTGGTAGGAGCAGAAACTGAGTCCTCCCCGGGTTAGGTCCTCAAATCAGCAGCTGAGGGGGAATCAGGGAGGCCAGGGCTGCCGCCTGTCAGTCCAGCACTGCTGGGTGGCCATGCGTGGGATGCTTGCAGTGACTGTGGCTGGGCCAAGCCCCACCAATGTAGTTGGCTTCCATTAGAGCTCACGTTGAGTGAGAACATATCAGTCTTGGTACTAGACCTCCCTCTACTCGGGGCTTCTGCTCGTGGAATGGCTCGGTGGCTGGAGTTGCCTGCAATTTATGGTTTTAGTTCCCCCTTGCTCCTGCCCTTTTGGCTGGGATTAGGCAGTTGGGTTTGAATCCATTAAATGGTGACTTCGCTCCTCCTGGCAGGGGTGGGTGTTTGGAAAGGGCTGTGTTAGAAGAGGTTCTAGAAACAGCGGCCAGGGCTCAGGCTGAGCATACAGTGCCTGCTCAGGAACCAGCCTCTGGATGGGACGTTCAGGATGCTGGACCTTGTGTGAACTGAGCTTGGGGCAGCAGAAAAGTCACCCTTGATGTGCTGGCCAGTTCCCAGGTGTGTGTGTGGGGGGTGTTGCCTTAGCTTCTTTCTTGGACTTGGAGTTAAGAATGAATAATGGTCGCCGAGGACGTTCTCATTGAAGAGCATGGAACAGAAAAGGCCCAAATCCCTTTTCAGGACCCCATTATCCAAATCAGTTCGGACATTTTGGTGTGTACCCTTCCAGATTGTTTTTCTATTCAGATATGAAATTTAAGAACAGACTCACTGAAAGCCAACTGACTGTCCCTGACTCCAGCTTTGCCTGAGCGTGGGGTGGGCCAGGGGGGCAGTACGGGTTTCCGTTGGGCAGTACAGGGTTCCGTCTCTTCTTCAGGTGCGCTCAGGCCTCCCTTTGTTCTCTCTGCAGCTTACATGAGCTTGTGAAACATGAAGAAAACGGCCTGGTCTTTGAGGACTCAGAGGAACTGGCGGCTCAGTTGCAGGTAGCTACGGCAAGCAGTGCCAGGGCTTGGGGGTTTTGGACGCTCCCCCATGCCTGCAGCTGTAGTGGGACCATGCTGTTGGGAGAATTAGGACATGTCCCTGTGTGCCCTCTGGATTTGTGGAGCTTCTGCCACACAAATGATGCTAGAGCAAGGCGGCTGTGCAGCTGTTTTAAGGATCAAGACCAGAGAAGTGAGATAGGGTTGAAGGGAGCTTCTTGGACCAGACTTGAAAGATGGGTGGGATTCTGCAAAGGGCACCTGTTTCTTATTACAAAAAGCAATACACTCTCATTTGTGACAGTTGTAAGATCAGCACATTTTTCTGTAAAGGTCTTGAGAGAAAATATTTTAGGTTTTGTCATACAGTCTCTGTCTGAACTCAACTGTTTGTAGCGTGAAAGCAGCCACAGGCCAGGTGTAGATGAAAGAGGTGTGGCTGTGTTCCAATAAAACTTTATTTACGAAGACAGCTGGTGGGTGGATTTGGCCTGCAGGCTGTAGTTGGCTGATTCCCGATTTAGACAGTTTAGCAAAGCTGAAAAGAACACAGACGAGGACGTTGTCTCATTCCCAGCAGACAGTGGGACTGGGCTAGCCAGAGGCGGAGGGAAGGTGCCTCTGGTGGAAGGAACAGCAGGCAGAGGTGTGGGGTGCTCCAGGGCATGGACTGTGGGAGAGCGGGTGTGCAGAGAAGTTTCCAGAAAAAGTTCTGGCAAGTAAGATAGCATTGCTGGGGCAGGGGTGTTTTGAATGTTGGTGAGGGAGTGGGGACTTGGGAGGGGTGTTGCTGGGCTGGGGACCTGGGGTCTAGGTGGGGCAGGAGCTCGGATGGGGTGGGGAGGGGTGAGAAGGTAAGTTCTGGTCTTTATTTTTTTTTGTAGATGCTTTTCTCAGACTTTCCTGATCCTGCTGTCAAATTAAACCAGTTGCGGAAGAACCTTCGGGAGTCAGAGCAGCTTCGATGGGACAAGAGCTGGGAGCAGACTGTGCTCCCTTTCCTTATGGACATGTGACCCCTCGGACCGGAGTCCAACCCTGGAGCTGGCTGCCCTGCCATCCTGCCTGGCGGCTCCTCTTCACTGCACAGCCCAGTCCCAGGGCAAAGTCCTGCAAGCAGCACCTCCCAGTGGTCAGAAGCTGGAAGGATGGCAGCAGGTGCTTCCTGCTGAAGTTATTTTAATAACTCAAGAGTTGGTGGCCCAGGAAAGTGCTTTGTCTTGGTTTATTGGAAGCTCTGAAACGCTTCTCTCTTTTCTTCCTCTATTCTGTGAGGCTGTCTCTCTTCCCTGCCTCGAGTCTTACTTTTCTGTCCTTTGCCTGTGCCCTCTTCGACTTGTCTTTGTCCCCCCCCTTTTTTTTTTCCTTTTTGTCTTTTTTCGTGACCCGTAACGGGATTGCAACCCTCGGTGTCGCGCCCGCACCACGCTCAGCCAGTGAGCGGGAACCGGTCTCCACATGGGATCCGAACCCTCGGCAGGAGCGCCACCACGCTCCCAAGCGGCGCACTCTCCAGTGCGCCACCGGGCTGGCCCTTTGTCCCCTTGTTTTTATCTCCTGGTGCTGGCCTTTCCCAGCCTCTGCCCTCCGTCCTGCTCCTGACATTTTGTCTCCTGCCTTGGAAACAGGCACCTGCTGCCCCACAGTGCAGTGAGATGTGTCACGCTCACAACAGGTTTGGTTTGGTGAGGAACTGAGTGTCCAGGTTGGGGAAAATCATACATGATATACATGTTTTTATTTACACAAAGGAAACACTTTGAGCCAGATTTTTCATTTCTGATTTATGGTTATTTTCTGAAGAACCAGAACTGCTGACTGAAAGGGGGCACCCATTCACTTAAACAGTTTATATCTTACTAGAACAAGTTTGTGGTTCCCGATTTGGAATCTAACACTCTGAACATTCAAGTCCAATGACAGTTCTATCAGCTTTTCCACATAAAAATTCTTCCCACGATAGTGGTTTCGTCTTCACTGTAATCTCCAAAGACGTTTGCGAAATCTACAGTGTGAGCTTCAGAATCGCCATCTCCGAGTGCTCTTGGTAAGGAAACAGTTTCTGGTCATGACAGGGCACTGCTTCCCATCGGATCCCAGCCTGGCCTGGAAACAGAACACACGTGGCTCAGGATGGCAGTGTTTGGGGACAGGACACAGGTGTGGGGGTGTCCAAACTGGTTTGGGTGGTTCCCAGATTTCCAGCCTACCTGGACTCTGAGAATCAGCCTTCGGGGTGGGGTAGGAGAAGAAAATTTGGGTTTAATACAGCAGTGATGGCAGCAGGGGTGGTTGCCTTTCCCCACCGGGCCACTTGGGTTCTCTGTCACTGCTCTGCATCTGTCCACCCATCCCTGGGCACAGCTCGGGAGGGGCCGAGCTTTGAACCCGTGTCTGCCCGACAGCAGCTGTTCCTCACAAAAGCTAGAAGGGCTCAGGTGGTCTTCGTAAGCACGGAGGTCTGAAGAGCCATTAGGCAGGATGCTTTTGTCACAGTTTTTTGTTATCAATAATAAATATAAGAATGAAGTGGTACAGACATAAAAGTGTAGAAGTCTCTGTAAACCCACCACCCAAGTATAACAACTGTTAATTGATGCATATTTTTCTAGATTTCCCCCATAGGTATAGCAATATGAAGATGATTACTTTTTTAAAACAAATGGGCTTACACTATATATGCTGTTTGGCACTTTCCTTTCTTAAAATATGTTTTAGGTATTTTTTCTCTTCTGTATCTGAAGGACTTTGTTCTTTTTTAAGGCTGCATGGTGCTCTATGAGTGGGTACCTGGAGTGTTCGTTGGTTTGTTTGTTCCATAATTAATGTGCCACTTGACACAGGGGGGCGCGTGGGTTGTCTGTGTCTCTGCCACCGAGGCTGCTGGGGGTGTGTCTGTGCAGACAGCCTCCAGGAGGGGCTTTGCTGTGGGGGGAGCCTGGGGCAAAGACAGGCTTCTGTGCCACCACCAGGTTGCACATGGAAAGTCCTGTCTGGGCCTGGCATGCCCCAGGGATGGCAGGGAGCTGGCTTTGGGTGGGGTGGGTGTGGTGTGGAGCATGGGAGCCAGGTGGCCTGGCTGCACTCTGTGGGCGCTTGGGGGGTCACTGTGCCCTGGAATCTTCACGGATGGGATGGGACGATGACAGCATACCCCTCCCAGGGGCTGGGGGTCTGACAAACACGCCTGAGGACAGTGCCTGGCCCGCAATGGTGCCAATCCAGGGCTGTGTAAATGGCTGACCCCAGCCTCTTCTCTGAAATCCCCTCCCCTGCTCTCCCTGCATTTACTGGGTGCCCCTAACACGGCTGCCATGTTCCTGCGCGTTCCCTGCATGCTCGGCACTGTCCTAGGTGTGTTACAGGCTTCACTCCCCTGCTGGCTGTTTCCGTGGCGCTGAAAAGGGGACTGAGGGCCAGCCTTCATGAGGGTGGGGGGCAGGACCTGTTTCCAGAGCCTGCAGTGGGCTGTCCTGTGGGCCAAACCTTGTCTAGCACCTACTGCCACCTCCATCTCATAGGTAGGGAAACTGAAGCCCACAGGTTTATGAGCCCCACTCTGAGACATGGTGGGGCCACTGGCCCTCCTGGGTCACTGCTGTGCTGCCTCCCGTCCCTCCCACCCAGAGTACCCAGGGACCCTGCCCTGCTCACCAAGCTCGGTGGTAAACAGCTGGCATGTCTCTGGGTTGCGGTTGGTGAAGGCCACGTAGGCGTCAGGGGCCCGCTGGTCCTTCCGGCAAGCAGAGAGCCTCTGCAGGACCCTGACCAGCGAGAGGATAATTTCTGGGCAATACAGCACGTCTAGGATGAAAAGCCTCAGGTTACTGAAGGACTCCCTGTGGGATTCAGGACTAAATGTGGGGTTCAGGGCTGTGCTGACCTCAGCAGCAGGACAAGGGCCTGGAAAGCAGTGGTTATGTGAGACCTGTGCCATTGTACAGGAAGAAAATTACGCGGGTGAAAAAGGAAAACCCTTAAGAGAGAAAGCTGTTAAAAGACATGGTAACAAATGGAAACATAGTTCAGACTCACTGGTGTGGTCTTTAAAAAAATATCAATTCTTGGCCTCTTGGCCTATTTAGAGGACACTTAATGAGGCAGAACCTGACTCTACCTTGGCCCTTTAGTTTCCAGGGGTCTGCTGATCTGCTTGCTGCTGTGTGGGGACACGCTTGCCCACGCCCATCAGCTAGGCTTGTGTGCCCAGCCATGCGGTGCTGTGAGTGTGTGGGCCGGGGCCAGGACTGGAGGTAAGCACCGCTGAACCAGGGAGGGGACCGAGTGGGCTTGGCAGGGGGCCAGGGGTAAAGGGAACTTTGGTGGCCTAGCCAAACACCAGATTCTCTCAAGGACCCTGTCCTTGACCAGAAGTGGCTGGTTCCCTCCTTGTGGTCTCTGAAGGACGTGGGGCATGGACCTAGGGCAGATACATGCAAGTGAAGGACAGGGTCGCAGGGCCACATAGAGGCATGGAGATGACAGTGAACCCTTGCACAGCCGTGCATGGACCAAATGGAGGTTGGTGCTGATGGGTGGGGGATGTCTGCTCTTGTTGCCTGACTCCACCTGTCCACTGTGGTCCCACCCTAGGCTGGGGTGCTGGCCACATGTGGAAGAATGAGACAGTCCTGGGAGAATCAGGGGCTGCCAGAACTCAAAGGGGCAGGTGGTGGAGGCGTGACTGGCCTGCACTCTCTTCCCTGACAGCTGCTCTGGCCATTCCATTGAGGGCCTGGCTGGCAACCGAGATGCTTTCCTCAGGCTGCTGTCTGTTCAGACTGGCTGGTGCCCTGGGGCCTGTTCCACTCGTTCATCTCAAGCCTTGCTGGGAAAGGCCAGGGTTCAGTTATTGGATGGAACCATTATAACAAGAGCAGGCCTGTCTCTGACAAGAGGGCTGTGACTTTAGGGCATGTAAGGGGTAGAACCCTGTGCTTTGATGTCACCTTGGAGGCCCAGAATGACTCTTTTGGAAGCTGCGTCATTTCTCTGCCGACAGCATCCCCTGGTCCCTCCTCTCCCAGCTGAGAGCGGGTTGGCGCTGTAAGGGGGACCGCTGGCTTGGTCTGCCCCATGCTGACAGTTACCTGCTGCGATCACAACATCTGATTGGAAGGCAGAGAGCTGAGGGACTGTCACATCGTCCCAGTCCAGCTGGGCCAGCATCACTGTGGGGCTCCCTGAGTTGGCAGTGATGTCTGACTCAAACGAAAAGCCGTTGAGAAGGACGTTCCCATGGAGCTGCTCGAGGACACGGCTATGACAGTCACTGAAGATGTACGCTCTGGGGTGGCATGTCTTGCAGATGGCTAGGCCTGTGAAACCGGCTCCACTGCCAAGTTCGAGGACAGTCCTGGGTGGGAAATGGGGACCTGTGTCCATGACTGTGCCAGGGCAAGCCTGCCTTGTGCCCTGCCCTGCCCCTTGAGGTCACCTGTGAGCGAAGGCTGCCGGGTTCTCTATGGCCCATTCCGCAAGGTAGAGGGCAGCGTCCCAGGTGACTAGGCCTGTGGTGCCATGTGAGATGATGGCTGTGCTCTCAGACAGTGTGACCGAGTCCCCTGAAGGCTGTGCCGAGAGATGGTGCAAGAGAATCCAGCTGTCAGAATACAAGTAGCTGGTGTTTACCAAAAAGTCACCATGGCTGGATGGCTGGACAAACTGGTACGTCCACACCCTGTAATGCTACTCAGCAATAGAAAGGAACAAGCTACTGACACATGATGACTTGGATGCTATTGGGGCACTGAGCTGTGGGAAGAGGCCAGTCTCAGGTTATGTACTTTGAGTCCATTCATTGAACGCTTTGGAAATGACAGAATTATAGAGGTGGAGACAGTGGCGGCAGGGGAGGGTAGGGGGTGACTACAAAAGGTGGCACGAGGGAGATCCTTGTGGTGACAGAAATGTTCTGTATTGATTACGGTGGTGCTTACATGGACCTGTGCATAGAACTACACACGCATCGTACCAGTGTCAGTGTCCTGGTTGTGATATGCACTAGTTATATATATGTTACCATCTGGGAGAAACTGGGGATGGGTACAAGGGACTCCTCTGTACTATTTTTGTGGCTTTCTATGACTCCATAGTCATTAACAACAAAGGAATCACAACTCTCTGGCATCATGAACTATGTAAAAATCTCAGCCTGTAGTTAAGTTTTCTTGGTTCAACTTGACAGCTTGGGGCCTGGGGATTCTCTCG